GTGGACGAAAGAAACACAACATTTTCTAGTAATTCCTGCTTCCATTCTTTTCTCGACTCTACTTTTGTCTGTTATCACGATGTTATGATACGACAATTGAAGTGAATGGCGGAAATACCAGTGCGAGCAGTTGCAACAACAATCGTAATGGTATCGACAGCCAACGAAGCCAGAACGGTAGATATGGTAGCAGTACGAGAGAACATTCCAGCACACCAGTTGACTAAGGGCTGGAAACGAGTCTCTGAAGGACCTTCCACATCACAGGCGACTTCCAAAAGGCGAAAGAAGCGAAAAGGAACGACAATGCTTATGCCATCCCTTGCTGCAGTACTTCTGAAGTAATGAGGACGAAACAAGGGAAGAAAGTAAAGATTAACACGCATGACACAATGTAGCGGAAGAAAAGCCCGTTGCAAAACGAGATGGAAATCGAAAAGAGGAAGGCTGTGTGGTCGTACAACCAGCATATCAGAAGTTGGGAAAGGAAAAACTGCATCTAAAATACCAAAAATACTAAAAAAAAATATTGTAGATGGGTATAAGCGGGTCAACTTTCCCCGAGATTATTTTCCGCGTCCTCTTTGTCTGGTTTATCTCACGTTTTTGTGCTTCTTGCATCAGCACTAAATATTTCTCCTTTACATCTAGATAAACCTTAGAATCGTGCAGCGTGTTTTGCTCGAAGTACGTATCTTGTGTTTCGATACGTTTCGTTGACTTCTTCAAGAACCGTTTAGTGGGAAACAATGGGAAAGCAGATTAGGTTGTGAAAAGCAGATGAGACTGAAAAGATGTCGGAGAGCCCTCTACCACCTTACCGGAACCCGGAACCACTAGGATGATCAGGTTTAAAGTTATCATTCGAGGAACTGAGGTTCCACACAGCAGCTGACCAGGCGAAGTGCTGAAGGCGGTTCTTGACCGTTTCGGGAGGATGCCACGAGGGGGATGGCCGTTCTGTCGTTCCTCGTATTGCGAGAAGTTTATGTGCGCGATTAGCCTTGAAGAATTGAAGAAAGAGAAAGCTGCAATCATCAGTACTGCAGGACGTCCTTGTTCGCATAAACGGTTCTTGAATGAATCAACGAAACGTATCAAAATACAAGATACG